GAACGGGAAAAAGTGACACTTGTCTTTTACTGTCCCCCTCTCTGAATATTGATTGGCTTAAAGGGTACAGGTGGAGGTCATCATCTGGTGGGAACTCCCAGTTACCCGAGACGATGAAATAATCGTCTCCAGCACCCTTATTGGAATCAGGGAGGTCGGCGATGAGTTTGTATTCAGTTGACACCGACTTTAAGTAATAAATGTAGCCTTTTTCTGACTTGAGGCTACACATGGTATAGCAGTACTAGATGTTGGGTAGGGTAATCCTAGCGTTCTCTTTCTTGGCTAAGGCAATCATGCCGTTGATAACTCGGAAAGAGTTTATGGCTATTTGCATTAGGTTAAACTTATAGTAGTGAAGGATTTGGTGGAAGAGGATGTCAAGGGGAAACCTGAGCCCACACTCAATAAAGGCTACTACTGGAAAGGGCATGAAATTGTCTTTGGGCATGATTGAGTCCTCCTCCCCAGTCAGCCTAAGGTGGGTGTCGGCGGCGATGGAAAACTCCTGCCTAAAGTGTTCAAGCTTCTCTGGGGTGTCTACCCTCCACCTAAACATTTCCATAATGTCGTCTAAGTGGGGAGGGTGTTAGATTTCAAAGGAAGTGGTTTGTTAAGGTTTAAAGGACCTCGGCAAAACCCAAATGAATGTTGGGGCAAGAGTTTAAAGGATCTAAAGGGAATTTGTTTCAATTTTTCGTAAAGTTTGTAAGTTCTAAAAACAAGACCCAAACCTAAGACTATAGAAACAAGGATTGAAGTCAAGAATCTGGAAAAAGACACAGAAAACAAAGACAAGAGCATGATTTAGACTCAGGAAGACAAACAAGAAATCAAAGAACATTGAATAAATTTGTGCAGGTGTGCAAGGCCAAGAACAGTGGCAAAGTGGAGCGAGTGTGTGTGCAATTTGTACATAAAGGTCAAGAGTCAAGAACTAATTGGACAAGCACAAAAAATTGCAAGACAGGACTTGCTTAAAACACGCGCATGATAAAGTTTGAGGCACAGATAAAGATTGAAAAGCATGAAGACATTCACTATGGCAATAGACAAAAACAACGGAGTTTTAAACTAAAAAGGGGAAAAACAGTGACTTACCACAAAAAAAGACGCCGCTACTAGATTCACCGGAGTCTGACGGTGGAAATAAGTAGAGCAGAGTGGAGAGAGCTTCGCTGGAAGAGACAAATGGAGTGATTACAGAGAGCTTTGAATGAACGAAAATGGCGGTTTGAGAAATTTCTAGATAGAGAGGCTCAAGAGTGGAGAGAGAAATTGTGTTGCAGAAGTGAAACGGCGAAAGAGATAGGGGAGTATTTTTGTCAAAACACGAAAATGCGAAAAATCGTAATTAGTGTGCCTAGGACGACGTGCTTGTCAGATGGCGCACGCAAATGTGATGTGACTTAATAGTGCGTGTCAGGTACAGTTCAATGGGGAAGAGACACGTGGCAAAAACGGTTGAGTTGTTGTACGTGGCAGCTTATATGCGTGAAAAAACTCTTGGAGTTCTTGATTTAATGAAGCAAAGACCTCGGCTATGGAGATGATCTCAGCTAGAGAGGTTTGAAAATAATTGGTTCTTGGTTCTAAAGCATTTGAGAAAACAAACTACAAGTCTTGGTCATGAGGAGCCGACTAATGATGAACTCGGTAACAATGATAGAGCAAATTTAACCGATGTTCTATGGGTTCAAATCAAAGGTTTTATCACATCAGGATGCCGAGGTAATAGAAGCTAGGCGGCAGTTGTGGGGATATATTTTTTGGATAGCAACACATGGCCAAGGTGGCACTGAAGTGCCAGCCGAGGTGCCATGTGTCATTGACTTGACGCCGAGGTAATCTCGGCTAGGTCGAGGTTATCTGCGGAGATACCGGAATCTGAGATGAGCAAATAAGTTATAAGAGTCCCAGAATGAGGGAGGACTTCAGTTTGGATAAGAATAAAGCTCTTAGGGAGTTTATCTTTATCTATTTGACAGTCCTGGATAGACATTGAACCAGAGTCCATTGAAGTTAGGCTTCTACTAGGATCAGGTCAGTATTGGTTATAAAAGCAAGGCACCCTCGTGGGTCTAAGGTATACTTTTTATATTTTGAGTAGTGAGTTAAGCACTTTTACTATCTTTGAGAGATAACTGACTTGATCGCCAGAGTGCCTCCGGGTGGACGAGCCACCGTCAGAGTCTTTTTCTTTCTGTGACAGGTCGTTTGGACGCAATCTATTCTCCCTGTATTCTCCAGCTAAGTACCTGTTTAGCAGTGTGGTCAGAAAACAGCACACACACAAAACTAATTGGCTGGCCGAATATTTGATCAAACATTTTATTCAAACAACTGTCTGTGAGACTTGTGGTATGAAATTATCTCCCATAAATATGTTTTTAAAAAGAAAAAAAAATTGTGATTGCAAACCATGGTTTAACGTAATTTAAATAAATAAATAAATAAATAAATTGATTCATAGTTTAATTTAGGGTTGATTTGAGATGATCTAAATAAGTGTACTTTTTGAATTTTTATGAAATATGTGTTGAATTTGAAGTGATGTGATAAAGAAGTGATGTGACTTAAATAAGATAATAATTTTTTAACTTTTTTAAAATATCCCAAAGAAAGCTTGCGCAATTAGGATCACACACCTTAATGAGCCAAAGGCGCCATATACGAAGAGACCAAAGATGCAAGCAAACAAAAATTGTAGGGGTGAGCATGGTCCGGATTGGATCGGATTGGAGTAAAATCAGAACCAATCCGTTATCTACGGATTCTGAAAAATTGGAACCAATCCAATCCGTTTAAATCGTGGAACCAATCCGAACCAATCCATTTAAATACGGATTGGATCGGTTTAGGACCACGGATTTATATAATTAAATAACAAAAATATATATATAAGCTAGATTAAATAAAAATTTGTTTTATTTTATTTTTTGCACAAAATTTTAATTATTTTAATTTATTATTTTCAATTAAATTAAATTTATAATTTATAATTCATAATTTTTATTTAATATATAATTTTAAATTAAGGACAATAAAAAATAATTTTATTTAATATATAAATTAAATTTCAACAACACTAAAAAAATTTAATTTATAAGGCCATAATTTATAATTTTTAATTAAATTTATAATTTGTATTTTTTATTTAATATATAATTTTAAATTAACAACACTAAAAAATAATTTAATTTAATATGTAAATTTAATTTTTTAACAACACTAAAAAAATTTAATTTATAAGGTCATAATTTATAATTTATTATTTTTAATTAAATTTAATTTATAATTTATAATTTAAATTTTTTATTTAATATATAGTTTAAATTAACAACACTAAAAAAATAATTTATAAATGTTCAAAAGATTATTTTACCCTTTTCTAATTGTTCACTAAGTAATAGCATGAAGGGTAAAATAGACATTTCACAAAATAATCCCATGGGATACCAATCCCATGGTTTCTATCCCACACCCCCATGGGATAGGATAGTCCCATGTTTGTAGGACTATTAGTCCGGAGCAAAATTTTTCAAACAAACAATGAAATATTAGTCCGGTAAAATTAATAGTCCAATCCCACTCTCTTATCCCTCAAAACACACATGCTCATAATGGTTGACTCTTGAAGATCGTAGAAGAATAAGGGAAGTCATATCACCGATCATCGTTTTCATCATGCATTTTTTTTAGTAAAAAACAAAACATTTTTTATTTTTATACTTAATCTTTATTTCTTTAATCTTTCGTGCTATAAATCTCTTTAATAGGAATTTAAGCCCCATTTGATAACTTAATTTTTTGGTTAAATTAGTCAAAAAAAATTATGAAAAATAAAAAAATTACTAAAAAAAATCAAATATCTCAGTAATACAACTAAAAAAAAATCATTTTCAAACACATTAACTTTTTCACCTCATACAAAAAAAATAAAACAATTAATTCCCAAACAAAAACTTAGATTATTGGTTTAGAATAATTTGGTGCAATTTTAAAAAGTAATTTTTGAAAATCAAAGTTAAAAATGCTCATAACTTTTATTTACTTATTTATAATATCTAACCACTTTTTGAAGAGTTACATTTCTAATTATAAAAATATTGAGCGTACTTCTTCTTCTTTTTTTAACATGGTTACATGGGGATGTCCTAAAAGTAACTAAAAAAACTAGTTATTTTGTTAAAAATAACTAATTAAACTAGTTGTTTGGTAAATGATAAAAAAAAATAAATTATTGAGCCTTTTGAAACTTGTTCTTGTTTTTTCATTGATAAATTTTTTAAGCGGAAAACAAATATTTTGTTGCTTGACTTAATTGACCAAAAAAATAATTAGTTTATTTGGTTTGAAGATTTAGGATTTACTTTTTAGAAAATTAAAATTTTGTATTTTTCATTTTTTTTGTTGTTGTTGTTTTCATTGAATTTTTTAGTAATTTTTTTAATTATTAGATTACACATAATATAAATACACTTAAAAAATATAATTTTAAAAATTCATCAAATACCAAAAATATTAAAAAAAATACGAGAATTCAGTACATTTTTATATTCTTATATATTTATTGATTTTTTAAAATATTTTTTTTATAAATATTTCACTTTTTGGATATATTTAAGTAAAATTTATCTAAAAAATAAAAAAATATTCATTAAAAATAAAAAAAATACAAAAAATAAAATATTTAATTTTAAAAAAAATTAAATTAAAATAAATTGAAATCAAACGCAATGAATTGTATTGATGAAAAACCAAACACAAATAACCAAAAAAAAAAAAAAAAAAAACTAGCCTCGGTGCATGCAATAATTTTTCCGGAGTGAAGAGAGAGAGGAGGAGGTGGAACCACAATTCCGAGTCCATCAACCCCACCAGCAAGAAAATATGATGTCTGATCCGATCCGATTCGATTCGATCCAACCCTTTATTTTCCTTTTTCTTTTCTTTTCTTTTCCGTAATATAAAGCCTTGAATTTTTGTTATCGTCTCTCTCCTCTCTCTCCACTGATGAGACTGCTCTCTGCTTGCTGGACTCCAGTCTGTCTGTCTGTCTCTCTCTCTCTCTCTCTCTGTCCAAATTTGGGATCTCTATCTATCTTTTCTACTGGTATAGTAGTAGTAGTAGTAGTAGTGAATCTTATTAGATAGATAGAGAATACTAGAATTGATGGGTTCGAAGCCGTTGTTCTACCCGGCTCCGACCTATCTGACTTTAGAGACCTATTGGGACTCCGACGACGACTCCCCTGGTCCCCGCTGCGCCCACACTCTCACCTCCGTCGCCGCCACCTCCTCTCACGGCCCCCGACTCATCCTCTTCGGCGGCGCCACCGCCATCGAGGGCGGCCCCTCCCCCTCCGCCCCCGGCATCCGTATGTATATCCCTTCTTTCTTTCTCTCTCTCTCTCTCTCGCTAATTACTGAATTTGTTTTTATCAATGCTGATCTAGGGTTATCTGGTGTGACGAACTCCGTTCATTCCTATGATGTTCTCACCAGGAAATGGACCAGGCATGTCTTCTCGCATTTCAATTACTAATTTTTACATATGAATTCTTTGAATTAATTAATTTTTATTTAATTAGACTCCGACCGGCTGGTGAGCCGCCTTCTCCTAGGGCAGCGCATGCGGCAGCTGCTGTCGGCACTATGGTTGTGTTTCAGGTGATTCAATTGCTGAATTCTGAATAAAGATCGATTCTTTCTCTGGATTTTTTTTATAATTATTTTGTTTTATTGATTTCTTTATTGATCGAGATTGATGATCTATTGCTAGGGCGGCATAGGTCCTGCTGGGCATTCGAGTGATGATCCCTATGTGCTTGACTTGACCAATGACAAATTCAGGTGGCATAGGTAACCACCTTCTAGAGATGGAGTTGAATTGTTCTTGTTTTGTTGGGGTTTTTCTTCTACTTTGACTTGGTTAATGTATTTTTTGAGTGTAGGGTTGTAGTTCATGGACAGGGTCCGGGCCCTCGATATGGCCATGTGATGGACTTGGTTGCCCAAAGATATCTTGTTACTGTCAGTGGCAATGACGGTAAGGGCATCTTGCTATTTCATGTCATCCCTTTCTTTTTCTTTTTTCTTTTTTCTTTTTTCTTTTTTTGTTGGTTCAGTTTTTCAATTCAAATATGCTATGTAAATTACTGCCAAGTGCCAAAGATTAGGTAAATGTGTGGTGTAGTTATTTATTTATGGAAAATGATTTACTTCTATCCTTCAGAGTTTTTGGCTTTAAGTTTTAGGTTCTATCCAAACCATTGTAAATTATCTTAGGCTTGTTCTAACATATTCATATATTTCGAGGAAAATGAGGAATGACCTGATAAATCACCATTGGCAAATTTCAAGCAGTGTTGTCACAATCGTATGATGCACGATATGTATCGTATCATATGAAAAAAGATACATATCGCAGATTCGTGTCGTAAGATACATCTCCATCTCGTACAATTCCATATCATATCGTAATTCAACTCATATCGCACAATTAATTAATGTTTATATTCTTCTTCGCTTTTGGCCTCATAAGCTACTTTTTTTCACTATCAATTACCATAGTCAACACTCAGGCCTCGTTTGGGAACGTGTTATTTTAGTAACATTTTGATTTTTGACTAAAATATGAGGTAAAAAAAATTAGTATGTTTGAGGTGACTTTTTGGTTTTTTACGAAAATATGTGTAAAAAGTAGAGAGAAAAGAGAATCTTTGACTTTTTGGTATAGGTTATAGGCTTTTTGACTTTTTTAATAACTTTTTGGCTTTTTGGCTAAAATGTTAACTTGCCAAACGAGGCCGACAATCATGAACTTTGGGGCCAATCCATATAGGGCGTTTGCTTTGGCTTTAAATGGGACCTCCACAAGTGGACGGTGAGATTGTTGAGTTGTGTATAAGTTGGTCCAGACACCCGATTATAAAAAAAATAAAAAAATAAAAATTTTGAACAATCATGAACTATATTATTAGAAAATCCTCTACAAAGGAGACCCAAATCTAAATAAACTTGCAAGAAAAAATTACTCCCACACACTCCTTTTGCTATAAGAAAAGCATCTAATTTGAGTGAATGTATATTTACCTTACTCATCAATTTAGTCGTTGGTTATATGATTTAGGCCAAGTTTGGCATACCAAAAATAATCCATCTTTTTATCTTTTTTTCTTTTTTCCATCACATCACCTCTCTACTTTTTTGCACATCTTTTCGTAAAAAGACAAAAAGTGCACTTATTTAGGTCATCCCAAACAATCCTTTAGTACTTTATTTTGGCAATATATTTAAATATTATATGGAAATGCTTATTATTATTTTTTCAATCTATATTCATATATGTTAATGTATCTTACGATACACAATGCATTATGCTACATGATACAAAAGAGTGATATAATGATACACAATACATATCACCGTTTGACATATATAAAGTCAATTCAAGGGTGCTGATCTTGTTTTATTCCCATAAAACATGTTCGTAGATTTAGAAAACAGTGAAACCTAGATGAAGCTGCCAAAATATCCTTGCCCGATTTGGTCACATATAATGCCTTAATTCTAATTCCTTGAACCATGAAAACTTTTAGAAACTGAAAATTAATGCAAGATTCTTGAATAACTTTTTGCATTAAACTCACATGCCATTATTTTAATGGGCCTTACATTAAATTGGATGCATCATAATTGCTGACTGATTTTTGGTGTGGTCGGTGGTACAAGTGGGACCTGCAATCAAACTTTACTGATACTGGTTGACATTTAAACACCTACCGTGTTGATTATGCAGTTTAAACTTTGGTGTGGTGCCCTCTTGGCAGCTTCTTTAATACAATTCTGCTTATCAAAGAAAGTGTATATATAAATCTATACTACTATAAGAATTGTTTGATGTTTGCTACAGTAAAAAAGGATGGCTTGTGTTTTGACACATTTCTACCACAAATGCCCTGTACTTTGTTTGCATAAATACCCTCTATTTTTTCTTTTTCAAACTTCAAAATGTCTTTTAATTGAATTTGCCCTTATAAAGAAAAGCCTTCATTCTTACTGTATATCACCTGTTAACCCGGTTGCCTTGCAATTTGTCTAATTTAATAACTTGTATCCATTTATATATATACATATATAAAATCCCTCGGTGACTGCATCCTTCGTGTTTATGCCCCCTAATTTGTTAGTGAATTAAGGGTTGAGTCGGTAAACTTTAGTAAATTCAAGCTTGTGTGAGCACTTCCATTTATACTAGCAATAGTTATTTTTCCTTGTTTTCTATTGCCAAAGGGAATTTTGTGTGTTTGTTTCATATTTAAACATTAATAACAGTAATTATATTTTCTGCAGGAAAAAGAGCGTTGTCGGATGCTTGGGCTCTGGATACTGCTCAGAAGCCATACGCATGGCAGAGGCTTAATCCAGATGGTGATAGACCTTCTGCTAGAATGTGAGTGTAATTGCTTTTCCACCATCGTAAGGTGACTGCTTAAAAGCTTGTGTGTTATGTTGTTTCAGCTTAACATGTTATGATTTTAGTCTGTGTTAAGTTTGTGCGTGTTCCAGGAGAATGAGGGGGGGAAATTGTTTCCAGGAAATTGACTGAGTTATGTTGTTTTTAGCTATGTTACACGGACTCGGGTGCGGGTGTCCGGTGTGGGTGTATATCTAAGGGTTGGACACTTCAAAATTAAAAATTGGAGATACGTGGATATGGATCCAAATTTGGATACGGGTACGGGGATACGCTAAATAGTTGTTTTTTTAAATATATTTATTATATGAAGATGAGTTAAAAAAGTTAAGGAATAACAAATTTTGTTAAAAAAAAACAAATAAAATATAAATAATAAATAAAAATTATTTTAGACATAAAATAAATTACATTATATATGATAAAATAAATTATTTTTATTTTAGACATAAAAATTATAATATTTATAATATATTATAATATGCAATATTTTTTTGAGTGAATATTATATAATATGAATACTATTATATATTATTATATTAATATCAATTATAAATAGAAACCAGAGAAAGAGAACGGAAAGGAAAAGAAGTCAGTCAAAGAAGAAAAGAGAGAGAGAGAGAGGAGAAGAGAAGAGAAGAAATAGAAGAGACACACAGGGAGAGAGATCAAGACCAAAGGGGAATCGAAGCCCTAGGATGGAGTCGACTTTGAGATGTTGGTTTTCAGATCTCCTTCGATTCGGTCTAGTTCGCGACTAGGGCTTGCACTTCGATCTTGCTTCGCGACTCAACTTGCTTCGCAAAAGTGAGTTTCAGCCCTCTCTCTCTCTCTCTCTCTCTCAGCAACCCGTCTTCTTTCTCCTGTCATGTCAGCCGTGTCCGAGAAAACCATGCCGAATCCGACACATATTTCACACCCACACCCGTGTTGTGTCGTGTCGACACGGGTACTCTGCCCTAAACCGGCAAGTCCATGTGACACAGGTTTTTAGCTTAGAATTCTATATTTTTCTATTTTCCCCGTTTTCCTTCCACATTTCTTTGTATCTTCTCTTCTTTTCATCTTCTTCATTTTTCTCCCTCCATTGCAGGTAATTGCTGTTTTACAGGTATAATCTTAACACACCCAAAAGGAAAAATTGTTCTCTTCCTCCATTAGTTATCCTCTCTCTTCTTCCTTACTGGTTCTCATTTTCTTCATTTCCCTTTTCCAGCCCCTCTTTTTATTGAAAACAGTCCAATTTTCTTTTTGCAAAGGTGAGTTTCAGCCCTCTCTCTCTCTCTCTCTCAACAACCCGTCTTCTTTCTCCTCTCATGTCAGCCGTGTCCGAAAAAATCATGCCGAATCCGACACATATCTCACACCCGCACCCGTGTTGTGTCGTGTCGACACGGGTACTCTGCCCTAAACCAGCAAGTCCATGTGACACAGGTTTTTAGCTTAGAATTCTATATTTTTCTATTTTCCCTGTTTTCCTTCCACATTTCTTTGTATCTTCTCTTCTTTTCATCTTCTTCATTTTTCTCCCTCCATTGCAGGTAATTGCTGTTTTACAGGTATAATCTTAACACACCCAAAAGCAAAAATTGTTCTCTTCCTCCATTAGTTATCCTCTCTCTTCTTCCTTACTGGTTCTCATTTTCTTCATTTCCCTTTTCCAGCCCCTCTTTTTATTGAAAACAGTCCAATTTTCTTTTTGTGATAGTTGGTAGGTAACCTGTCTGTCATAGGTATTTTGTTTAAGCTGATTAGTATCTCTCAATCCTACCCTTTAACACCTACTTTCGAGGAACTTTAGTTGTGTATCAATGGGGATAGCTTTTGACATGCCCTTGAATCGCCAACATTCTATCCATATTGCTGGTGTGTGTGCCAACTTCAAGCAATCAGAGAGCTAGTGATCTCAAACTTATGCCCATCTTGGCATATGGCCAAAATCCTTTGTTATTTTTCTTCACTTGCATTTGCATCATATTTTCTTTTCAATGTCCCTTTCTTTCCTGGTGGATATCAGTCGTTGTCCATAAGGACTGAACAAATAAATAAATAAAGAAGTCCTGCCCTTAGCTTTTGATAACTTGTACACAATTGCTCAACTGCTGATCGTTGTGGCTTATGTGGAGGTCATACTTAACAAAAGTCCTCGCCTTGTTTGGGTGGCAGTGGTAGTGAAATGTAGCATTTTTATTTTATAATATTTGCAGCTTTGCATCTCAATGCAAAATCATGAACGTCTGTATTCCTTAAGTAGTACATGTTTTTAGTTTCACATTACTTCTTGTAGGTATGCAACAGCTAGTGCCCGCTCAGATGGCATGTTTTTGCTATGTGGGGGAAGAGATGCCTCAGGCACGGTATGATCTATTGTTCTTGTGAAGACCGAAATTACTTCTTTCTATTCATGATTCATGTGTCTAGTTTGTTTATATGCTATGTTCGAGTATAGAACAGAAAGATTTACTGCTTTATATGCAAATGGTACTACCAAGTAGAAAGAAAAAGAATATGACATATAGGAGTGGCCAAAGCTTTATGGTTACTGATGTGCATTTCTATATGTATCCCAATGCTTTCTGAAGCAACTTATCTTTCCTGAACTACAGTTGATGACATTTTTCTTGTTCTATTATTTGAATATCATATTGAGGCTTCTCCATTACAGCATAGTTATCAAAGTCTTGATTCTTTATGTGGTGTGCATATACAGCCATTGGCAGATGCTTATGGGCTGCTCATGCATCGGAATGGTCAGTGGGAGTGGACTCTTGCACCCGGGGTGTCTCCTTCACCAAGATATCAACATGCTGCGGTAAGTGATAGTCACATGCCAATGGCCCTTTCCTAATGAATTGTGTTTTTACCTCTCTTTATCTCTCTAAATTCCTGAGAGTGGAGGTTTATAGGGAATTTTTTGGAGGGAGTACATCTTTCATGGGGAGGACTACATGGGCTTTAAATGGCCTAAGATTTACAATGATTGGCTGTTAATGGGCTAGACAATTTAGCTTTTTTCACTTTTAGCATATCTCTCCTATCACTGATCTTAACATTGCTGGTTGTCAGGTCTTTGTTGGTGCTAGATTGCATGTTACAGGAGGTGTTCTTAGAGGAGGACGTGCAGTTGAAGGGGAAGCTGCCATTGCAGGTAAATTTCAGGTTCCCTCTGTGGTTTATTAGCATGAATGACTATATATTCAATCAATTGAAGAGAAAAATATTAATCCTTATGGTGTCTGTTTGAAGTATTGGACACTGCTGCTGGAGTTTGGTTGGATAGAAATGGGCTGGTGACTTCCTCACGAACAAACAAGGGACACACCGAACATGATCCTTCTTTGGAGATTATGCGTCGTTGTCGGCATGCAGCTGCATCTGTTGGGGTTCGGATATATATTTATGGCGGTCTCAAAGGAGGTAAAGACTGTGAATCAGTAAATGCAGAACTTAGATTGTCTACTTTTACTGAAGATCAGACAATGACATGCTGAATCTAGTTTTATATGGAATCAAGAACTGCAACGTGAACTGTCATTTCCACTTAGAGCATCATACTGTTCCCTGCACTTGCATTTTCATCTTCTTGTATATCCTTGCTATCACAATATTTAATTGGTAAGTTGAAATGCTGATCGCATGAGTTTCTGATTAAGCATGAGCATGACTATCAAGAGCAACCTTACTATTTGTATTTTTGTGCATGGCAATATTCTGGCTATTGGTTTTGGTAGGCTGATTCCATACTTCGTATAACTTGATTGCATATCCTTCTTCTGGAAGTTATGTACTTCAGTTTTGCAAATACAGAGTGGAAAAGGAACCTGAATCTGCAATCAATACTTGTTTGGTGCACTGTCCGAATAGTATTTCAAGTACGTTTATTAACAAGAGAAGATACACTCTGACTGAAAGTATATTTTTTTCTTCATAATACTAATTGAACATGTAGATGTGTACCCTTTTGTCTTGAATTATGTTGACATCAAGGTAATAATTTCAATGGATGAAATTATTATAATTATGTTGATCTACATGTTCAATTAGTATTATGTTGGTGTCAACATGTAGATGTGTACCCTTATTATAATTATGTTGACATCAAGATAATAATTATGTTGAATTATGCTGCCACCTAATTCAACTCCCCCTTAGGGAGAGTTGAACCCATGACCTCTTCCTTGTGACTAAGCCCTTAGGAGAGTCGTGGTGGCCAACTAAGCTAGGCCTAGTTGGTTAAAGCTTGAGCCGTTAGTTAGACAACCAATGCCCAAAAATTTAAGTTAAGCCATTAAAAAATGAGCCCAAGTCTTAGTTTTTTCTTCTTGTCTGAGGACTCCTTGTCCTCCCTTTGTTATCTCTTTTCTTAATTAATAAAATTTCTTTCGTTGCTGTTAAAAAAAAAAAAAATTGTAAATTGAGCTCTACACTTTCCTTCGCACGCAACCCCCTTTTGAACATGTATAGGTAGACACGTAGAATGGGTTGCAAAGACCAGCAAAACGGAGTGGATATGCAAATAGTGGGAGAAAAAATACACATGGAGAGATTTGGATCCTATGCCTCTCAAAAACCAAAGCTCTAGCAGTGTGTTAGACAACTAGTTAGCCTAAAAGCTTGAGTTATTAGGGAATGGACCCACCCGACAATGCATATCAAGCTCTAGACTGTACTGAGGCAATTGATCAAGCTTGGTTTTGCATTTCCATGTTCCTTTTCATCTCTCCTTGCCCTTCTCTTGTTGTGTAGTAAATCCTTTGTGTTTTATTTGTGCAGATATGGTGTTAGATGATTTCTTGGTTGCGGAAAACCCACCTTTTCAGTCTGACAATAATTCTCCTGTACTAACATCTGAGAGGGCTGCAACTGTGACAAGTCCCAGAACAAACTATTTCAGTTTAAATTCATTCAGCCCAAGTTTGGATGGCAGACCTGAGAGTCCCACCTCCAGTGGCAAAAGGTTATTTTATTTTATTTTTTATTTTTGTGTACCACTTCAATTCTTTTTGAAGTTTTTGACTTTTTATTTTTTCTTTAAAAAATTTGTGACACATATTCATGCTTACCAGCATGGACAAGGAATCTATGGAGAAACTAGCTGAGGCTTCTGCCGCCGAGGCTGAGGCTGCTACTGCCGTCTGGCAAGCTGTGCAGGCAGCCTCTGCCACTCCAGAAGAAACACCTGTATCAGATGACAACTCACAAGTTGCAGAGACTACTTCAGAGGGTAGTGACACTGAGGCAGACGTTCGCCTTCACCCTAGAGCTGTATGTACTATGCGTTTATGTTTTATGTAAAGCGTTCATTCTTCTTCAAGCTCCAGCAACATGCTTTCTCTGATTCCACAGGTTGTAGTTGCTAAAGAGGCAGTGGGGAACCTGGGTTTGATGGTAAGGCAGTTATCCTTGGATCAATTTGAAAATGAGAGTAGACGAATGGTTCCCTTGCATAATGACCAGTCATATCCTGCCAAAAAGATTACCAGGCAGAAGTCTCCCCAAGGCTTGCATAAGAAGGCAAGTATATCAAATTGTGTTTTCTTTTCTTTTCTTTCCTTTTTTCTTTTTTACCAAAAGAAGAAGATAAGTACATGATCAAGGAAGGCATTCCTTCCATTACAAGTGGAGAAGTGTTCAAAAACATATCAAGGAATATTCGAGTCCCTGCAAATTGAAAAATTAAGAGCATAGTGACTGCCTTAGAGAATTTTTTTTTTTTTAATAAAAAAGTTCTCTCTATGTATATTCGTTTTCCAAGAAAATTCAATTGATTTTATGGATTCTTCATTATACTTTGTTTTCTTGCAGATAATTTCTACATTGCTTAGGCCTCGGAATTGGAAAGCTCCTGCTAATAGGAGGTTTTTTCTGGATTCTTATGAAGTGGGTGAGCTATGCTATGCTGCTGAACAGATCTTTATGCAGGAGACTACAGTTCTTCAATTAAAAGCTCCCATCAAAGTGTTTGGTGATCTTCATGGACAGTTTGGTGATTTAATGCGGCTATTTGATGAATATGGATTTCCTTCCACTGCTGGAGACATAACGTAAGTCTGATATCAGGGTTTTACAATTTCAGCATTTTCTTTGCATTTCACTTGTCTGAATAAAAAGCAAAAGAAATTTTGGAAGTTGATGGCATCTGTCATGGTGCTTTTGATACACAGGTTTATCAAATCCTATCATCCTAAAATATTTTGATCAACCAATAAGCCTGCATAATCTCAGTTTTGAGTAAGAAATTTGCACTTATGATGTAACCCTAAAACCCCTAAACCCCAAAACCCTAAACCATAAACCCCTAAAACCCTAAACCCTAAACCTAAAAAGATAAACCCTAAACCTTAAACCCTAAATCGTAAATCGTAAACCGTAAAACCGCAAACCCTAAACCCATAACCTTAAACCCTAAATCCTAAAACCCTAAATCCTAAAATCGTAAATCCTAAATCCTAAATCCTAAACCCTAAACCCTAATTGTCTGCTGAAATCTACACCATTTTCTTGGCATCTTCTATTTTCAAATCACATGGCTTAGCTGGGTGACACTGATTAGATTAGATGTACAACTAGAATTTCAGAGAGGAGTGCCTCGACATATATGGATTTTGATACTGCAGCTAGTGTGGCCTCTCTAAGATCTTAATTAAGGCATGATAAGCTTTGAGAATTATGAGTGAATGAAAGTTAAGATTTGAAATGAATACATTGAAAGTATATTATGCATCAAACAACGTTGCTTTTTCCATTATGGACGTTCTTGTGTTTTTTGTTGATTCTCTCTTTTTCTTCTTTTTCACACTTTAGTTTTTGCCTTCCTTTTTATTTTTCTTTGAGAATTGAAAAGAAAAAGGCAACTGTAACTACCATTACTCTATGCTTGTGTTAGCCCCAGTTATTGAATGCTTCTATTTCTAGTTATGACTTCATTCTAATTATGGATAATCCAAATGACAATTCTGAAAACCATTTTCTGGAGTTGTTTAACAGCCATCTTTGTCTCTATGCTTCAGGTATATTGACTATTTGTTTCTTGGTGATTATGTCGATCGAGGACAGCACAGCTTGGAGACCATCACCTTGCTCCTTGCACTAAAGGCAAGTTTCTGCCTTCACCATTTGAGTACTTGGTTTTATTTGGCAGTGTTTTTACTGACAATCCCTGTCATGATTTCAGATTGAGTATCCTGAGAATGTTTTTTTGATACGGGGGAATCATGAGGCTGCTGACATAAATGCACTCTTTGGTTTTCGTCTTGAATGCATTGAGAGAATGGTATGGATGTAGATGTATGTGCAAACACTTGTTCCTTGAAACATTTTGACCATACTTATGACAGATGTATATGTAGGGAGAGAATGATGGGATCTGGGCATGGACACGATTCAATCAACTTTTTAACTATCTTCCTCTGGCTGCACTCATTGAGAAAAAAATTATCTGTATGCATGGTGGCATAGGGAGGTCCATACATTCGGTAGAACAGATAGAGAAACTTGAAAGACCCATAACAATGGATGCTGGATCTATAATCTTAATGGATCTTCTATGGTATGTTTTAGTTCATTTGTAGTCCGCAGTTTCCTCCCATTGCCATCAAGAATTTCATGTCTGCGTCATGTGTGTTTTTTACAGGTCTGATCCCACAGAAAATGATAGTGTGGAGGGTTTGAGACCAAATGCTAGAGGTCCTGGTCTTGTCACTTTCGGGGTACGTATGTTGTTACTGCACGTATGAATCTGCGATTTCATTTTCCCGCTTGTCAATTATATTTTATTTTTTTTGGGTGTAGAGGAGATCAAATGCAGAATATATTCTTCTGGCTTCATCTTCTCTATTCTTAGAATCTTCAACTCAGCTAACTGACCTGAAGAATGTGATTTTCGATAAATTAACACTATTAATGGCAGAAATATTTGGTTTATGCATATATTCACATTCCTTCATCCACATGGTTTCAATTTCAGTTCTCTCACGCTAGAGTGTTCCGAGTGCATTGTTGCTTAATACTTGGATCTATGTTATGTTGTATGTCCCACACAATGTACTGAACAATTCACATGTGGTAATATAGTAGATACCATAGATGCTAGTGGCAATTAAGTTGGTACTGGGAAGCTGACCAACAGAACCGAAGGAGCAAGAAAATTACAAATAGAGATTTCCTCGTGACCTGTTCCCAGTAAAGCACATCCTTTCACATACAAACACCTCAACTAAACTAGCTGATGTTGCAGTTATAGAACAATTTTGAAATCTTAAAAAGTTTGGACTGATGTTTTGCAGTTTAAACGAGATAGTTGTCTATGGTAGTTTCTTTTCGGAATCTTGGTTTTTGACATTTGGGACAAATCTTTTACTGCTCTCACCTTCTATATGCAATTGTAGACCTACCATCATATCATGACCCTTTATGACCACTTGCAGCCTGATCGAGTCACAGATTTCTGTAAGAAAAACAAATTGCAACTCATTATAAGAGCCCACGAATGCGTTATGGATGGGTTTGAACGATTTGCTCAGGGGCAGTTGATCACTCTCTTTTCTGCAACAAACTATTGTGGTAAGCATTGAATACTGTACATGTTTCTCCTTTACCATTGTTGAGCCCGTGTCTTGATTGAGCAAATGCATTCAGGGACTGCCAACAACGCTGGGGCAATTTTGGTAGTTGGCAGAGGATTAGTTATCGTGCCAAAATTGATTCATCCGTTGCCACCTCCCCTTCAGTCCCCAGAGACATCTCCAGAGCGTGCCATAGATGATACATGGATGCAGGTAAAGATTCTTTTGGATTTCTGAATTGTCTGTCGGGCACCTACTGATAAACACCATATTTGTTTGGCTTTCTCGTAAAATACTTTCTTTTGGTTATTGGCCTGTGCAGGAGCTTAACATTCAAAGACCGCCAACTCCTACCAGAGGTCGCCCACAGCCTGATCTTGACCGGAACTCACTCGCATATATCTGAATTCCGTGTGATATATTTGTTCATTTACAATGCCTAAACAGGGGGATCCCTAGGTTTGAAAAGTGCATGATCACAGCCCAGGTGTGCATCAATTGGGAGATCCACCATCATTCGCATGATAGCAGCCAGTGTTGTGTTGTATTTTCATAGATACCGAGTTTCATAGGAGGCTTGTCTAGTCTACACATAATTTGAGGATAGCAGAAAAGTAGTAGTTAGCAGATGCATGGTGATTGTACCTCCCCAGATTGTTTTTATTTGTACAATTTAAGCGAGTGTGTGGGCAAGTTTGATGCCCGGGGAAGTTGGTCGTCTTTGGTTTTGTGTATTGTAATGTAAATATATATTATTTATATACATCTTTTTAAATAGTGATTACTTACAATTTTTGATGGGTAATAAACTTCATTGTATCAACAAATGTATACAAGAAACCCAGGACACAGATCAAAAAACACATATTGGAGCCTACACACCAAACCCTGGACACAATGACAACAATACAGAAGTCATTGGCAATCCTGCCAATAGCTGCCTAATATCCTCAAGAAGAGGATCAATCCTGCACTCCCCTCCAGTCAAGAGGCAAGCCATTATGCATAGGTAATAACGGTTATATCCTTGCCTGGCTGTGGGTGTTTGGGCTTTCTTTTCTCGTGACATTTTTGTTGGCTAATTTTTATTTTTAGTGAATAGTTAAAAAAGTTTTAAGCTTGTAGATTATACTCAACGAGACGAACTAAAACATTATTATTTTAAAAAAAAATCAAGTAGTCCAGAAAAAAAAATAATAATAAATAATAGCGAATTTTTTCCACTTTTTTAATTTTTTTAGAATTTTTTTTTTAAAATATACTTTTTAGATTCATCCCCACAAAACGAATCGGAAAATAAAAAATTTTGATATAATTTGGAAAAAAAAAAGATTATTGAAGACAAAAAAATTCAAAAAAAAGAGAAGCTCATTTTTGTGTTTCCAAACCACTATGACTTCTGATACATGAGGTTGCAGGCTGTCTTTGATTTGCAACTATGGAGCTTCATTACTAGAACATTGTGTTCCCTACGACATCTTAATAATACTAGCTAGAAGAAGGAGAAAAAAAAGGTGTAGCCCAAGTAAAGAAGATCATCACGAAGTCCGGAGAAAAAAAAAAGAAGGCATCACATGTGACATTGTACTGCATTCCATACGATTCTCCAGATATCGATAGTATCAGCAACTATAATCTTGTAGTTGAGCCCCACAGTCATGATGTTTGATTTCTCACAAAAAGATGAAAGAAAGGAAGCCAAATAGTTAAAGCATGGGAGGAAAGATACGCGAGTGGGGAGAGATAACAGCCTCCTGCACATACTTCTTGGAGTTATTTGGATCAGGAACCCAACGGATTTCACTCATGTTTGGTGTCTCGACAAATGCCATTGTGAATTCTCCAACCTTTTCTGCCTTCCCTCTCTTGCCTGCCCTGAGTACAAGACTGTTCCGTTGGTAAGAGAAAATGCCATTAGCCAAACGAATAATGTCACCCGGCTCAAAGGCATCGCACTCATCCTCCCAGAGCTGAAAATGAACAGCAGCCGTGTTGTCAGCCACTAGTGCCAAGCATGTCTTATGTTGACCTTCGAACGTTAACCTTCCTTTATCCAGAAGTATGAACTGTGCATTTATATTGTTCTGAGCTGCAGGTACAATGTCTTTCAACGAGATCATCTCTGCCATGTTACTTCTTCAACCTAAAAACAATAATTCCAAAACTTATTTCACGAATTAAAGACTAAAACCAACACATACAAGAAAACAGAAATCCCATTTGTAATCACAAGTATATTTTTGAAACCTTCACGAGAAATAAAGCAGGCTAGCCTGAATGCAAGAATCTACCAAAATTATGTCATCGGCCCATGCAACGTAAATGCGCAAAAGAAAAGGAGCTGTGATCGTTTATGAGATAAGCTCCATTAAGTAGGTACAAGAAGGTGTGTACGTGCGACATGTGTGCTATGAAAAACTCAAGAAACTAAATTACAATTGCTGAAGAAACATCCGAAAACTGTTTTTGGTGAAATTTTCCGAAGCAACCCACTTATGATTTTGAAAACATGAAAACGAAAATGAAAAGTATTTTTCAGAAAACAAAAAAAAAAATTGAAAACACAAACAGAGTGACTTTTCCTGAACAATAAAGCAACACTGTAGTTTGTAGAAGCCAAACCCGGATGGAACTTTATTAATAATAATTGGGTTTTGCAAAATCCGACGGCAACTACATGACTGCATTGTACATATATAGGATCTAACCCAGCAATCCGTCTCAGTCATTTCATCGAACACGTAGCATGCGACTTAATAATGCAAGGTATTGGAATCCTTCAGAACGCTCATTAATACTACAATTGTAGCCCATGTATGTGCTCCTTCATAAATATGTGACAACATATTTCATGCGTGTATGTATATATACATATATACATTTATCTGTGTGTTGTGTGTGATAGACAATAGTATAAAAACATGTGTATGTGTGTGTTTGATCTTAGTACTTATTATTGTAAATTGTAGCACGTTGCATCGATTAAGAAAAATATAGCGAAAACAAAAAAGCAATAGCATTCACTCCATCAAAATTAAGAAATAAAAAATGGATGAAGCATAGAGGGTTAACTCGGTGGTATCAGAGCCTCAATCGAGAAGTTCCCTGTTTCGGGAAAACTATGTATTCAATGATAGAACAATAAGAGTAAAATGATTATATAATCACTTTCTATTGAACAAACACACTCGAACCATTCAAATAAGTATTTTTTTTAAGAAGATATTTAACACTATGAATTTGACATCTTTTTAATCTATTCATGTTGCCATAAAACAAATGTCATGTAAAAGACTCTTCATATCAAGATAATAACATCACGCTGAGATTAAATTTTTTAAAAAAATCAGTTAAGTCCAATTCCACTTTGGTTAGTCGCTCTTGCAGTTGATGGGATATAAACATGCTCAGCAGGACTCTCAGCTGAGTCATAGTGAGACAATTCCTGAGACACCTTGTTTGTCAGGAAAAACATTGTCCCCTACAGATGGAGCACGACCATCCTTAGCTGCTCGGGTTAGCCTGGCTTTCCGATTATTCAGCCTGTTAATGAGAGAGAGAGAGAGAGAGAGAACGTTTCTATCAGAAAAGAAACATGTGAAACAAATAAGAGCACTAAGTAGTACAAAACAATGGTCTTTAGTATCAAAAAATTTTGAAATATTATATAACAAGAAATTTAATAATAAAACACTCAAACTTGTTTAACATCATGATGAGAAATGGGCACCTCAAGCTGCTTGATCACAGACAATGCATGTCTTTAGAAGACAAAGATCATAAAAAGGGCATTTGGAATGTGATGAGGTGCATTTTCACCCAATCAAAGAGAAAATAAATAATTTAACGGTGAATATTTTTTCAGTACAACCATTGAATATGCATAATTTGATGGTCAAAAATTCAAACGAGGACAATCTTATCAAGGCCCGACAATTCAACCTGTTAATAGATTGAGTTCTGGTTTGTTTTCTCATGTCTACTCTGCAATTATATGGGCATCAAATAAACTGACAGAAAGAAAAATAAGTTCAACTACAGCATATGGTAAGATGAAAGAAAAGGACTGGTTACCAATTTTTTAGCTGAGAAGTTGTAACCTCAGAACCCTGGAAAAGAAAAAGAAAAAAAGTGAACTTTTTAGGATGCGCATAAGTATTACTCTTAATTAATAAATATATATATACGCAGCTTACAAACAGGAATGAGTACTCTTAACATACATGGAGACTTAATTTATCAGCCCATGATTGTACTGAAGTAAAGTTGCGCTGCATGTCAGGTTCATCCAAAAGGGCCCTCTCAATTACAGCAATCTGTTCATCATTCATTATGGTGCGCTTTCGTTTTCTTTGCTGCTTCTCTTCGCACTGAACATCTTCAACCTTTTCATCCTCTAGAACTCCTCCAATTCCACTTTCTTTGGAGTTCTTTTCTCGAGTAGAGCTTGAATCTGACCCACTTGTTTCAACATTTTGAATCTCCCTAAAGCCCCCAGCCTCCGTACCATATTTACTTTTGTCTTCCTCCTTATCTTGCAGCATCATATCACCAGTTTGATCTATACAGCTGCTCCTGACATATAATTGGTCCTCTTCTTGAAAATCAAATTTCTCTGACATTCCCTCTTTCAGGTTACCAATTCTGTTAGTATGATCTGGACCTATGTTATCTAGTAGGGGCGATGAGCATCCCCCTGCACTTTTTTGATTCTCCTAAAAGGGAATCAAACATAATTTCTCAAATCACTTGACCAAAATTAAATCCAACTATGAATAGTAAGTAGAGAATTTGAGAGTCCACTGACTTGGGCCATGTTATTGCATAGCATCAGAAATTAAACAATTTTGATTTAAAATATAATAAAGCGTACATTACACTGACCTCCCAAGTTCTGGGGAAAAAAGAGAAAAAAAAAAAGAAGCAAATCCCATAGTTTTGGCATAATTACACAAACCTCCCCTCTAATAACAATGTAAATAAACATAGCTAACACAATATATGAAATTACTTTTTTGCAGGTATATATTTTTTGCGTTTAAATTGAAATGACAAAACTATCCTCATTTTTTGTTAGCTTAGCCCTAACCACAATGCAGTTTGTCTCTTCCATGTCTTCTAATTGAACCATAACAAATTGCTATCTGTTTGTATGCCAAGAAGAGCACCAACATCATCTCTGATTAAATCTCAAAAACGGCACATTCTCAAGTTTGAATGTAATTAATGGAGGAAGCTGAGAAATTGCAAGAGAACAAGACATAAAATGGCAAGAGAGATCTCTACTGCGAAGAAACAGATCTGTCACCGTTGAGAACCAAATCACTTCATTGGTAGGATGTCATCGAGCAAGGCATCATTGAGCGAAACAACATTCTTATGTCAGCTTCAGTGGCATGAAGTTGAGAACTAAAACCAGAATGAGGTGTTGAGAACAAGAACGTGGATTTCAGTGAATTTCAGGTGTTGAGAACTAGAATGAAATCAATTTTGCTTTTGGATTTCAATGGCATGTTAGTGATAACCAAAACAAGACTTTGTTAAACGAGACAACATTGTCAATGTCAGCTTCACCTTCGAGGTCAACATCAATGAGTCGGAGCTCGAAGAGATTGGTTCTTTTGAAAGAATTTGTCTACAAAAGCAAAAATGAAGGAACGGTCTGTCTGAGATTGATGGCGGTGGTTTTGAGCTCCACTTCATTGTTGCCGGTTCTAAAGACAACAATTTCTCTCCAATTTGTTTGATTTCTGCTTTGAAAACAAGAATTTCTCGCCAGTTCAGAAAACAGGTAGTGGTTGATTTGTTTATTTTTTTCATTAAATGGTTAAAGGTGGAGGGCGGTGGGAGATGGAGAGCAAGGGAGATGAGGGAAGAGGGAGGTGTGGGGGTTAGGGGACAGTAGTGAGAGAGGGAGGCGAAGGGGCTAAGGATGGCGATGGGAGGGGAGATGAGGGCAAGAGAGAGAGGTGGATAGGGACATAGAAGGAGAGATTGATGATAGTGAAGGGTGTGCGGATGATGAAGCTGTATGAAGAGGTTGAAGAAGGGTAATATTGTAAATAGCATGTCCAAGATACATATACTATTGCATGTATGTAAAGGGTAAAATAGGAAGTTCATTATAACTTTTCTTGGCATCATATGCCCATCTGTTAAGTAACCAACAGTAAAGTAGTGGTGTGGGTGTAATTGTAAAGCAATTATAAAAAATTTGAGGGATATCAATATAATTATGTCAAAAAAGTACGAGACTAGCTATATTTTCCCCCTAAACCTTAGGAGAGGTCAGTGTAATTTACCCTACAATAAAATACATCCTTGTTGGACTCGGAGATGACTCACCTACACACACACAAAAAGGAAAATTTCCTAAATTCAAGTTTTACAGCCACCAGTAAGTCTCATGTTATGAATTACTTAGCCTTGGGTCAACATATAAATAAACCTTTTTTACCAACATTTTAACGATCTAGTTGATGTTACTTGTGAGTAAAATAAAATAATATTCCATCATTCACCTGAAAATGTTCGCTGATATTGAGTTTTGATAACTTATCCCCGCATTCCGATCCCTCAAATTTGTTTTCCTAAATTTCCTCGCGCAGCACAGTTTGATCACAATGAGAATTTCACCATGACTAGTAATAAGGAAAAGTGAAAACATTTTCCACAGTAGAATTAAATGAGACAAAAGATATCTACAGATTAAGGATGAAAGATTTACCTGAACTCGATTTTCAAATTCAGCTGAAGTGATCAGTGATTCTAATTGCATAAAGAATACCCTGCAAAAGAAATTTTACAAATTTGCATCGGGAGATTTTCTAAGTTAAAAAACTATGCCACAACACCAGTTTAAAGACCAATGGAAGACATATGTAACAGAATTGAGAAATTAAGTGTGCATAAATGATCACAAAAAATATTTTTTATATATACCCAATATTATGACAGGTAACTAACTCTTTGTTCTCTATCTAATATTCGCTAAAAGCTGTGTGGCTGAGGTGGAACCTCATGCTACCACAGTAGGATGATTCCCCCAAGAGGCCACAATTACTACAAGCAAACATATTAATGACGAGGAAGGCATTATTGGGCAGGCCAGCAGTGTATAAGTCCTGCAGGAGACTTGCGTTTAATGTCTTACTTATCAATAATACGGATTAAAATTCAAAACATTTTGCAAAACACACACAAACACTTGCTAATTCATTGACAACCTTGTTTCCATACCGGCATATATCACTGAGTTGAACTACATGAGAGCATAAACATTCTCTGGTATGCTTCTGAATCATGAGCTGGCAGAATAGATAACACTCATAATATAATGTAGAAGGATTAGAAAGGAACAAATCAGCAACTATCGAATGACTGAGTGAAGTGCCAGCTTAGGAATGACGTCAAGATTTAAGTGAGTTTGTTTTCTGTGTTATCAAGTTGTATGTTGCTGGCCTTTACAGGGAACATAATATTAGGAGACAAGTATAGACTAAAGAATTGGGATATATTCAAATATATAGCTATGAAAAGGAAGCAAAAATAGTGTTTTTAGTTGTTTGTATTCATGTTACATGATAAATATGTGATTGATAATTGCAAGGTCAGTTCAGAAATCATCGTGACATTGTCAAGCAAACTCAAGATAAAATATTCAAGAAACGCAAACTCAAGATAAAATATTCAAGAAACATAAATAGAAGAAACGATGACTACACAATTTAGGTTTAAGTCACCTTAATAGATGTACATCCTCCTTGTTCAAAAATGAAGGCGTCAAAGACTCTGCATGACTCAACAAGGAACCTAAACTTTTAGGTCAATTGTTAGGAATGCAAAAACATGATTAATTTTGCACATTGAAGTAATCATGAGATACTGATATTTACATAGGTTGCTGCTAACAGTGACAGCTTTTTCAGCATCAGAAGCCGGTGATATAGGCTGCTCCCTTTGTAAGCACTCCAGAAACTTGTCAAGGAAGACATCCTTCTCCTCTGTGGATTGGAACAAATATTATGCTTAATGATCAAGAGAAAAAAACATGATACTGATCAAAGCTGCTACCCACACCAAAATATATGTCAATAAAAGCACTGACCTTTACAGATTTCTGGAACAAAACAATGGAGATTTGCTATTATTTTGACCAATAAAGAAGATCTCTGATGTGCATATGAAGCCCACGGAATGTTAATAGGAATAAAATTGGGTCCTGAATTCATTACATTCGGTAAATCAGATGATGAAGATGAATCCAAAACACATCCAGCTGCCGCAAATAAGTCATATTCCAGAGTAGCATCTTCCTCCCGAGTTGGAAGATCAGACGAGCACCAATTAGACAAGAATTCTTGATGTGGGAGTGCAAAGATTGCAGTTAAAACTTCTGTCTGAAGAGAGATACAATGAATTTGTCATGAACATCACATACCATATAATTTATAAAGCATTATATATTGATACAAAACGTAAATCCCATGACAAGAGCATAGCTTTCTCAATAAAAGCAGTAATTCATTTTCTCATAAAATAAGTGGTTTCCCATGGCTACAATAGAATACAAGCATCCTTGAAGAGAATTACAACAACATATAAAAAACTATAAAAAGGGAATCATGGCAAGTACATAAATTATAAAGACTCTATAGGCATTAGCAAAAAGCTTACATAGTATATCATGATGTAAGATCGAAAATTTGAGTCATCAGAGAAGATATCTGCCAGGCGCATTGCATTCAGTTGTAAAAGCCCCGTTGGATAATTTTTGTCAGAGCAAGCAAGCTGTTTGGGATCTCTGACAATCATAGTCTTCAGTAACTCGAGAACCTAACCATGACATTTGTTATTAAAACCAACAACCTTGTCAGAGAAGCATGTTCCATGTATAAAAGAGAAAATCTCAAAAACAAGTAAGCTGATCGTGATAAAGAAATTAATTGGGGGGTTAATGATGTCATAATGTAATTTTTTACTTATCCCAAAAAAAAGACCATAATTTCAAATTTGTATAATGCACAACATACATCATACACATTAAGACATGTATCATGCCATCATATCACAATTGAGCACACACCATATGATATGTTTCCAATATTCAGCCATAAGATAACCAAATTCACTTAGTCAAACTGGAGAGATGACTTGAAAGATTTTTCAATGCATTAAGACATGTTTCCGATATTATATAATGCATGACATACGTCATACATATTAAGATATGTACCATACCATCCTATTACAAGTAACCATGTACCATATGGTATGTTTATGCTATTCAGCCATACAATGCAAGAGAGGACTTGCAAAAACAAGTTCACTTAATCAAATTGAAAAGCTAACTTAAAAGCTTTTTCAATGTGTTCCCCCTCCCCCTCCTATTCAGTTCTCTTGCACAAACATACAACAACAAAATTGATCTCACTCAAATTAAAATTTTAAAATTTAATCGTAGTAAAGAGGAAAAATATGGAACATTTTGGTTCTGTTAAACAATGATTCTTATCATTCTCTTGAAACACCACTAATGCAGCACACATTCTAGATGAAAAGGCATTGCAAAGTTAGGCACATTGGTCTGCATATGTATAGTTCAATGCCAATGAACTATACAAACATTCATGATCTACAAGAAGAATACCTATCTCTTAAGATAACCATACAACATGATATCCTGAGAACAAACCTCTAATGCAACAGACTTTGCCAGATCCATGCTTTGAGGAGTTCTGGCAACCTCATCTAGGAAAGATATGCTTTCGGCTTCACAGAGATGCAACAGCTGTAGAAATAGGAGTTATGGCCGGTAGTGGATAAAGTGCATTCACAAAATTACCATATAGCAAAAGGCTACATATATTTTCAATTAGCTTAAGCCTCCAGTAAAATGTTTTCAAAAAATCCTGTCAATCACATGGACTTACAATTGATAGAATTTTAGACTTCAGCCTAGAAATGGCAGCCACAACTGAGAACGACTCTTTAAACAATGGTGTGACTTCTAGGTTCAAAATAGCTCGAGCTAGCAACAAAACACCACCTTTTCCACATAGTTCCTGATATAGTAACAAAAACAAACATTTCTTTAAAGAACAATAAAAAGAAGCCTTATTTGAGTAAAGACCACAGATGAAAAAGTCAGGGGATGAGGCCAATGCAGTTGGTATTAAAACTAGACGACAAACAACATTGGAAATCATAGCAATAGAAGGAAAATTGTTCCTTGGTTCATGCATCTCCACCAATGGCATGCAGGATAGGTAGAATAATAGCTATTAATATACAATTAAAAAAAAAAAAGAAGAAGAAGAAGAACTGATGATACATTCTAGTATCGTAAAGAAATTTTGAGTTCACATGCTATTATGTTTTTATGGTAAGTACACATGCTAATATGTTAGAAAATTAAAACTAGGTGCGAAATTTCTCCACTTGCCACCTAATTCACAGCAAAGACTAGTTTTGGGAGATTTAATAGAAAATCCCATATATGGGACTTAACCTCCATTAAGTCCCGTGAATATTGTCTTAACACTGTAAGTCCCATGTGATACAAAATTACACAATTGTCCACAATTCAATATGACCCAATTTATCACTGAAATTGGATCCAAAAAATCAATTTATTTGATACAAAATAAATCTCGAGATTGTCTACAATCCGCTAAAAACGAAAATCATTCTCCATTTTGATTATGGTTCGTAAAGGGAAATTATACTCTGTTTTGAAAAATGATTTTCACTTTTAAAAAAAAAAAAATTTAAATACCAAAATCATGTGTGTATATATATACATGTAATAGTGTGAATTATTGTACATGCAAAAGTTGTAACTGTGCATATTCACACTTTTAATTAATAAAATAATTTGAATTTCTGGTAAGTGTGAAAGTTGTTAGTGTGAATATTTTACATTTTCAATGACTAAAACAATGTAAATTTCTAGAAAATGTGAATATTCACACTTAAGACTAACACAAATTGTATGTGTGAGATTAGTAAACTTACTAAAACACTATGACATCTTTAAATCATAGATTTTTTAAAAGAAAATCCTACTAAAGCTTTAGTCTCATAGTTATGTAAGAGACCAAAAAACCCATTTTAAAAATAAAAATGGTATGAATCTATATTTTAAGAGAAAATCAATATTTTGCCCATTTGGATTGAAATCTATACTTTAAGAGAAATGACAATAGATGGCTTGTTTATTTGGACTCTTTACGTTTATATATACGTAATAAATAGTATGATTTTCGTAAGTGTGAATCCTTACACTTTCAAGGAATAAAATAGTACAAAATATGTAAATATGAATATTCACATTCAAAACTGCAACACAAATTTTTATGACATCTTTAAATTATTCAATAAGTGTGAACATTCACACTTTTTACAAAAACCTCCTATAAAAACAATCCTTGAAGAAAAGGAGGGCAAAAAGATGGCCTTATAATGAAATATTTGGTGGACGTTTCCGAATGTAATAGCGACAAAGAGGTAGATCAATGAAGGAGAGAAGAAAGAGCCCACTCACAAAAATACCAACACAACTTTCATATAGCAAAGCCAAACATATATCCAGCCCATTCACGGAAATACCAACACAACTTTCATATAGCAAAGCCAAACATATATCCACCCTTCCGATGATCCCCATAAAATCCCTTTGTGAGCTATTATATTTACCAGTGTTATTAAAGGTGATAAGCACACTAAAGCTCCAAGGTTTCATAGGGCCAAGGCAAAGCGCAGGCTTCATCTAAGCGAGGCTCGTGTTGACAATAAAAAATAGATAATTTAACACAAGAAAATTATTCAAGGTTCAACATAGATAAAATGTAATATTAAATATTTAAAAACATAAATACCAACAAACACTAATATTTTATCATTGGCAAATAATTTAAGGTTACACATAAATACAATCATCTAACTCATAAATCATAAACATTTGAAAATAATGAAGAAATCAAAGTGTCTTACAAGCAAGGTTTTAAAAAGCGGCCGCAACCGTTACGTAACGCCGTTACGTAACGGTTTTGGCGGTTACCGCCACCCGTTACAACCGCTTTTGCAGTGTGATTGAGATTCACAGGTGTGTTGGCCGTAGCGGCTGCCGTAGCGGTCGTAACGGTGCTGTAACAGCCGTAATGGCCTGTTACGCACCGTTACGTAACAGTTCCAAACTGTTTCTTCCGAAAAAACACAAAAAAAAAAGCTAAAAATGGGAGAAGAGGGATAGAGAGAAGAGAGAAGATAAAGAGAGAAAATGGAGGAGCAAGAGATAGAGAGAGAGAAGAGGGAAGATGAAGAACATGTTATTAATTTGTTGAAACTGTAAGACCTATGCTATTCTATTCAGCTGCTATTACTAAACCATTTTGTTTGTGTGTGTCTATCTATATATTGTTTGAAAATAATAATAATAATAATAATAAGTGTGGTCATTATCTATTTGGTTTGGTTAAAATATGTATATATATATATTTAGTCTCTTATTTATTCTCTTACTTTTTTCATTATTTATCTTATGTATAATAGTTAGTAATTGATTTTTTGTATAATATAAAGTCATTAATTATTAAAATAAAATGTAAAAAACTCAGTTTATAGCGATTTAAAAATATGAAATATATTGCATCATACTTAAAAATTTATAAAAATTGATTAATATTTATTTTTAACCCAATAAATATGATCATGGAAAAAAAATATGCGTATCGGTAAGTTTTTTTCAAATTGTACAAAAAATAAAAAAATTCACGGTTCCGGTTACCGCAACCGTTACACTACGGCCTTTACACCCCGCAACCGCAACCGCGTCACCGCCACCGTTACGGCGACCGCAACCGCTTTTCAGAACCTTGCTTACAAGATTAGCATAGAGTAAGAGAAGGAGAAGGAGACTAAGGTGATTTTTATTTTTATTTTTATTTTTTGATAAATAAGAAGGAGATTGAGGAGATGAAGAAGAAAAATAAAGAAAATTGCAAGTCTAGTCGAAGAGAAAGCTCTATCTAACTAATGTCTTTGTATAATTAGGGCTCAAAACGTGTTGGGTTACAATGTATGTTTAAGGGTTTAATCCTCTGTAGTAGCATATAAACAAAAAAACAAAAAACAACACAATGAGATTAAGTGAAATCAAGGGTAGTTATTGTAATAAACAAACATTTTAAAAGAAGCGCACAAGTTGTGCACCTTGAGCCTAAGCCCAAAGTGCACGCTTCATGCACTTTTATGGGGCATGTTTTACATTGCATGGCCTGAGATGTTATAAAGCACACTAACTGGAGCTTAATGAGCCTTGGGCCTAGGCACACCTTTAATAACACTGATAATGTCTATTCAATCATTGTTGTCTGTATACACAGGAGCGGAGCCAGGATTACAGCATTGGGGGGCCAAAAGTCAAGTATTATGTAAGTCTAAGCGGTCAGATCAAGTTCAATTTAGACGACTAAAATCAACAAATCACTATTAAACCCAAGCTAAAAAATAATTACAAAAATATATTCCATGAACTTCAATTTCAATGATTGACCACTAGAAAAATGTAAATGAGAAGTAATACCACATACTTTATACAGCACATGAATGGTAATGAATTGCATATCGCACTATGAATACAAAAATTTTAAATTGTCACGTACTAATGAATGAAAGATGAAAATACTTGGATTTTTTTTTAGGAAATAAAACAAGCAAAACTATGGTACACACTCTTAAAAATGCATACCGTATGTCCTTTCAAAACTACACTACAATGATTGGTAACAAAATCACAATAGTTAATAACTTTTTTAACCATAACAGTACGAAATATAATAATATTCATAACATAATCATAATGGTTCATTAAATAACCTTAATAATTTGTGACTAAAACTTTTTTTTGTGGTGCATCCATTCGTAACATAATTATAATAATTTGTATTAACATTACAAAAACTCATAACTATTCTACAAAATATAGTATATAAGTAAAAAAAAAAAAAGAAGTTTGGGGGGGCCAAATGCAATTAAGCAACACATGCATCATATAAATCACACACATATCCTAACAATCCTAGCAAAGTAGAAGGGGCCAGGAACCCCCCCCCGGCGGGTGTGTACGGCAAACAAAAAATTCAGTTTCATAATGTGAAACTTTCCTGTTTATGTTCATCTCTATTCTTCATTTGCGCTAGGTCAAAGTCTGATCTTATTTGATGATTCTAAGAATATCTATCTACTTAAAGATACAATTTGATAATGAGAGATATTGCCATGATTGAAGCACATAATCCCGACAAAAAAAGAAAACTGTATGGTGTATATTCAACATAATATACATTTTAAAATAACAGCAAAACAGTCACTAGAATTTATAGAAATTTTTAAAAAATTAGCTCATAATTCTTTTTTTATGGGGCTAAATGGATTAATAATAGATTTTCCATGGGACCTAACACTACACAAAACCACCAGATAGAATTTTACACCAATTTCCCCATAAGTTTCTTGGTCATTCAATATTTCAATTCACTCCAAATTTAGGGATTGTGGATATCAAAACAAATCAACTGCCCATTCCAGCAAACACTCCAAATACAGGTTCAAGTGCTGGTAGGAGATCATAAGTCCACCTAGGGTCACCTCTGGTCCCATTTTTATCATAAAAGAAAGTTTTGTTCGCCCTATTTCAACAACACCTCTATTGCTAGATGCCAACTGTTCTTGTTTCCAACAGATAGAGTGAGAGAGTTCTTAGTCAAAACCTTATTCTTGACAAGGCGCTCCCGGAACAACTTCTGTTGACACAATGATTGAAGAAACTGCAAAGAAGCCTCACACTGCTGGGACAGATAGTTCAATGTTCCTTCAGTACATTGACCTGACAGCTTGATGTGGAGAAACTTGATGTCCAGACGAAGTGCTGCAAAAGCTGTATCCATAAATACATCGACCTATAACAGAAAGATCCATGATCAACCATTTACCTTATGTGTTATGCCTCTGGTCAAAAGCTTAAAATAATTCATAATCTAGACTATCCAACAAGAAAAGTGGCTCAAGTAATAAAAGAACAAATGTCAGAGCAACCAATCTCCATATAAAGGGTCTTAATTGCAAATAAGTAGCCTTGCAGATTAGGGCCTTGTTTGGTTTATGTTTCCCAAAAGTTTTTGGGAAAAATTCTCTACAAATAAGTTTTCAAAAGTAATCAAACTAAATAAATTTTTCCAAAAAAATTTCCCAAAACTTGTTTGGTTTACAAGTTTTCCAAACAAATCTCTCTCTCATACACATCAAATCAATCACTTTTTCCAAAACTCTCTCTCAAAATAATTTTTCTAAACATCTTTTGAAAAAAACCAAACCAAACAACTTTTTATACTTTTTATCTCTAAAACTCATCTCCCAAACTCAAACCAAACATACCCTAGATCACTGAGACTGATGCCAGACTAGTGTTCCGTGGCTCATAAATATAAAGGGAAAATGTTACCTGACTGTGACTAACCAAAACAAGAGCAAGTTCTTGCCACTGAGAAGAAATACACCCTGTTAATAGATATAGACTACAGGCCACTAAAGCTGAATGCAATAGGGGCATAGGACTTGAAGTGTGGTGTTCCTACATCAAAGAATAATAAGCATTACTACAGGTAAACAATATGACATGTAGATCTAAAAGAAGAGGATAAACGGGTAACCTGTCTATAATTGCTGAGAAAAATAAGCAGAAAAATAATCAAATCAAGAAGCTGCACTGATACTTTCACATCATCAAGTAGAATCTGAAAGAAAACTACTAAAACATAAGTTTGGTTTTCCTCGACATGATCAGACTTCTGCAAACTCATCAATAATGGCTAGTTACAATTTCAAAAAAGTGAGAAACAGAGACAATAGGCAATTATAAGGAATAGAAACCCCGCAAGCAAAGCAAAGCAAAGCAAACCAAGTAAATTCATGTAAACATCTAGAATAATTCAATGAATGGAAATTCACATTTTTCTTTCTTCACTGTATTTACATTAAATTGTTAACTACAAGAAACCTACTAGTCAACTTTAGTTAATTTGAGAATCATCATTAAACAGAACTTGTGCCAACCTGCTCAAGGATGGAATGTCTAGGTGCTAGATCACACAAGGAATGCAATAATCGAACTCCACATAACAAGTATTGGAACAAGGCTTCGTCTCTTTCAGCCAACATCATCATCCTTGCCATAAGATGCATCGGAAGATATCTTGCGAGGTTTTCCACATCAATCTGAAACATTAAGATATGTCAAACTGACAAAAATAACACAAACAGCAATCTATAGAACAATTAAAATTACAAAATAGTTCTTATTAATAAGCACCAACCTGAATAGATGACCCAGTTTCAGTGACGATGTGAAGGATATTATTCCGAGACTCTCTGATTAGCTTATTAAGCTCCAGAGAGCTGAGCCTGTGTAATTCTTTTACTGCTGAAATTAAGTCAATGGCCTGTCCAAAGGGTGGAAAAGGCAATAGAAAAAAGGTCAGCACATAATTGAATTAAAAAGTGTACTAAACGAAATGCAATGACCCAACACTGGAAAGTTCATCTGAGCTGAGCCTGTGCAAATCTTCCAGTAAGATCTACATTCCTTCTTTTTAATGTTGATTCTAAGAACTTAATTACTAAGTGGATTAAAAATATTATCAACTGAAAAATATATATATGAGAGAAAAGATCATTGTAAGAACTTAATTAGTAATTTTGCATACTTGGAAGGTAAGAAAAATTCAATTTTATATTTAAAAAAAAAAAATCTATTTTAAAAATTAAGCAATGGTTATTTAATTTAAATAAATATTAAACGGCCTCCATTCCAGATTTCGCCTGTGGACCAAAAAATAATTGGGCCGCCCATGTTTCCGAAGTCAAAAGTCTGACTCAATAAATAAAATATTTAAATAATCATATAATTGTTTACAAACTACATAAAGGAACATGTGATAATATGCCCCCCCCAAAAAAAAAAAAAGAGGAAAAGAAAACAAAAATGTGCTCGAATATTTCGAGTAAATTACTTATTGAAAAAATATGAAAAATTAGGAGAATAATTTTCGCCCATAAAACAATTATAAATAAAGGATAAAGAGAACAAAACACGCGCGCTATAGTAGCAACATCAATTTAAAAGTGTATTGTTATCTTCTGGTCCCATTCCAATCTTTATATGCATCGTACTCAGAGTCTCTCTTAGAATTTAGATATGTTGTCCACAATCATTAGTTTTGAGAAAAATAATCAAAATGAATTCGCCAAACAATAATTTAACAACTCATATCAACTTAATTTAACAACACATATCAAACTGAGTAATCATAATTTAACAACACATATCAACAAAGTGATGGAATTATCCAAACAACTTAACAAAGCAAGATCAAATTTTGGGGAATTTTCCCCCAACGCAGTAAACTGATGGAATTCTACAGCAATGTCACATCATCAAGACGCTTTATGCAATATATACTTACTTGACGTTGAGGTCTGCTTGATGGACCTGCCATGGCGTCGCTCATTCTTCGAAATCAGAAGCTACGACTAAACGCCAAACATGTAAGTACGTGTATATGCATGCAGACACACAGGATACATGAAAATTGCGAAATATTCAGGAAAAAACGAATAAAAACCCTAGATTTGAAGTGAATTCGACGTTGAAACCCTAGAATTACGAAAGATTTCAAGGATTTGATGTAAAAAAATGTACGCGAACAACGCAGTGAAGCATTCAACGAACAGTGAAAATTTGAAACAGCGAGAGCTTACCTTTTGAGAACTGTATCGAGAATCGAAGTCAGAGAATCGGAGAGAGAGCTCGAGAAAGCGAAATTTCGAGCGAGAATAATCGGAGAGAACAATTACTGAGAAATGAGAGAAAAATTCAGTAGAAATGAGTTTGGATTTCAGAGTGACGAGTGTTGCTATAAAAATTCAGTTGTAACGGCTGATTGTCGACTACGTTAACATACGCTATATGTTTACTATTTTGTGATGGTGACGAGTGTTGCTATAGTGCGCTGCTGTGGCGCGCTGTACAATGTCCACGAGTCAAGGTTCTCATATGGGGTGGACACGCGGGTGGCCCCCTCGGCCCAGTCCAGCTCACTTTTTAAATGAGTGGTTGACCGTAAATTTTGAGTAATGATTCATCCCCTTTTCCCCACTTTCTTTGACCCCCTCTCTCTCTCATTGGTTACTTTTTCTTTTTCTTTTTCTTTTTCTTTTTCTTTTTTTTCCTGCTCCACCAATCACCTCCTGCCACGTAGCAAAGGGGGTGAGGGGGTGACCCCCAAAAGGGGGTCCCAAGCATTATTCGTAAATTTTACAGCAAATTGTAAACATACCGTTAAGATTTAATTAAAATACGAATCAATTTAGTTGATTTAAGTTTTTTTGGAAAACATTTTTTAAAAATATTAATTTTTTTGTTTTTTGTATTTTTTATTTTTATTAATTTTTTTAATTTTTTTAATAATTTATTAAATTTTTAGACATACCTAACATAAATACATTTAAAAACTATAATATTTATGAAAAAATCTTTAAAAAATTCAATAAATACCAAAAATATAAAAATATATATATATATATAAAAATTTAGTATATTTTTTGTATTTTTATGTATTTATTAATTCTGTTAAATATTTTTTCAAAAATATTTTACTATTTAGATACATCTAAGTAAGGTGCATCTAAAAAAGTAAAAAATTGCTTAAAATTTTAAAAATATTCACTAAAAACAAAAAAATACGAAAAACAAAAAATAAAAAACTCAATTCTCAGAAAACTGAACTCAGAAAACTAAAACCAAACATACTGAATAGTTTTTTTGTAGTTTTGAAAATTACATTTCATTTTTGAATTTCTAATTTCATAACAAATCGTCCATTTTATTAATAAATTATTAAGTCAATTAACAATTTTTAATAATATTATAAATATATTTCAATTAATAATTTATGTAATTTTATTATTGTATAAGAGAACAATTATGAATTTTATTTATTTTTAGTTAATTTTGTTAAATAACAAATTCTAACAACGAGGTATTTGTAATTTTCAAATCAAATGAGGCAATTTGTATTTTAAATAAACCTCAAAAGACGTATTTATAATTTACCCTAAATTTTATCATTTTTCAATTTAGCTAAACTCAAATTGTTTGAATTAAATCATTCCACGTACACCCTTCCTACATGAGTAGTGTTATTAACACTCCATCTATTATTTTGGACCCCTTATTTTTTTAGACCCCCACTTGTAAATTTTGAGACCCTTAAAATTTCTTTTCTCCTCCTAAATAATACCAAAAAAATCCTTGTAAAAATATTTCACCTATTCAATTTAATGCATACCCCTCACACCCCAAAAAAAACCTCTCTTCCAATACCCTTAACAAAATCCACGAAGAAGGAGAAAAGCCAAGTGTGATTAATGTCTCTACCGCCTCATTCTTTTCTTCGATTTAACCATTGTCACAGTTGGTATGCTCTCTCTCTCTCTGCTCTCTCATTCTTTTGTTCGGTCATTAATGTTCGGTAACTTGTTTCCGAACAAATAATAAATGTTCGATTATCGGTTGTTGATTCTCGAACAAATAAACAATGTTCGACCCGTGTTCCTGAATTTCAGTCATATATTTAGAAGTTTAGTCCCGAACAAATGACGAACATATTTTATTATTTTTGCCATTTTTTTAAAGAAATTTACCCTTACAAAACCAATCTCCTTTGAGCTAAAAATACCTTCAAAGTTATGAACTTCTTCTGAACTTTTATTGTTGTACTCCTCTCGTCTCATAGAGTTGTGGTTGCTGAAAAAACTTTCACTCATTGCTATTGATGAAGAAGTGTAGATAATCAAATGGTTGCTACTGTTATCACCAGAATATTGTCGCGAAAAGGTTTTCAAGGTTTTGAGGATGGATACGTTTTGAATGTGGGATTTGAGAAAGATGGATGGGTAGTGATGGAGGTGGGTGCTCTTATAAACCCTAATTCATGATATCATAGGTGTGTGGGTTTAATTGTGAGATAGGTGTCCCGAAATTAATGATGTCTTTTTTAATAATTTTATTTGAAATTATTATTATAATAACAAAAACTAAAAATTAAAGGATTCAAAATAATTGATGAGATATTACACCATTGGAACAGTTTTCTATATAAAATAAATAACTTGAAACCAAATCAAACAAATAAAAATAAATTACTTACAAAATTTATTTACAACTAGTTTGAATTTGTCCGAAACTGCTGGCAATTTTCAATCTGTTTAGAACAGTTTAATCTGTTAGGAATTTCGGACTAGAAGAGGCACAATTTTGGACAGAAAATTTGAATTCAAATTTGACACAAAAAATTGAATTAATTTCATCCAGAAAAAATAATTTTCCTGCAAGAATTTTTGGAAAAATTCAAACAAATTTTATCCAAAAAATTAATGTAAAGACCTAACCCTCAACTTGAACCGGCCGGTTACGGCAGCGCGCGCATGTGGTGGTTTGAGCTAAGGTTCACTTTGTCCATAACTCCTCCCTTCTACAAACTTGAGGTGCCCTTTGGGGCCTAACCCAAGTTTGTCCACCTAGAGCTTATATACTCATATAAGCTCTCTTCAAGTTTTAATGTGGGACAATCCATTTCAAAGAAACCCGCATTTACTACTTTAATTGTCCATTTCACGAACCCGAAAACGACATCAATTTTCCATTCACTCATAAATGGTTTTGACGAACCGTTTGCACCGTGTAACTCGCTACGCGGCAAGGAACACGTCAATTCTTTGGACCCACCTCAAAAGACGCATGGGCCCCACTCAAATTTGTACTCAAAGTTGGCCCAAAATAAGCCTATAAAAACCACAATTCCAACAATCCCACACATGAATGAAATTTGACGGAGAGAAAATGCAACAACATGATCTAATTACAGAGAGTACAGAAATCGATGATATTCTGCAAAGAATAGGTAGCTTTTGATTTTGAACCTTCCCTTGTGAGACACTATCGGATTTACTAGTTAACTAGTGAATATGATGTCTTGAACTATTCAGCCAATTGTGTAAACCAAGACAATATAACTCACATAGCGGCCCAATTTACACTCATATATGTGATTTTTATGAAAAATATTCTGTCATACCCCACTAGGAATTCCTAGATATAAGAATCATTAAAAGTTTTACTTAACCTAAAACGCTATAGACATCACTATTTCATCATAGAAATGGGTAGGAGTTTGACTCCCCAGTGATCTCTATGAGTCATACACAATTTGGTTGTCCCTTTGAACCTAGATCTTGGGATCTCCAATCAACTAGGTTGGGTTGCTGTTATGGTAACTTTTATTTAATAGGCTTAAGTCTCATTCCCCTCGATGAATTCTCAACTAACTCTCTTGCTAACCCTTTGGTTAGTGGATCCACTATGTTGTCTTTAGACTTCACATATTTAATGGAAATAATTCCATTAGAGAGTAGTTGTTTCACGGTGTTATGTCGACAACGAATGTGTCGTGACTTACCGTTATACGTATGACTCTGTGCTCTACCTATTGCTGATTGACTATCACAATGTATGCATATAGCAGGCACCGATTTTTGCCACATTGGAATATCTTCAAAGAAGTGACGAAGCCATTATGCTTCTTCCCTAACTTTATCTAAAGCTATAAATTCTGATTCTACAGTAGACCTAGTAATGCAAGTCTGTTTGGAAGATTTTCAAGATACAACCACCCTACTAAGAGTAAAGACATACGAACTGGTGGATTTTAAGTCTTTAGTATCTGATATCCAGTTTGCATCACAGTATCCTTCAAGTACTGCAAAATATCTAGTATAATTAAGCCCAATGTTATGAGTAAATCAGAGATATCTTAGAACTCTTATAATTGCTTTCCAGTATTCTACTCCTAAATTATTCGTATATCTACTTAATTTACTTACTACATAAGCTATATCTAGGCGAGTGCAGTTCATCAAGTACATTAAGTTTCCAATAATTTGGGCATATTTTAATTAAGAAATACTTTCCTGTACATTTTTAGAAAGAAACAAATTAACATCCACAGGTGTTCTAGCAAGATGATCATCATCTTTGCTGAATTTGTCAAGTATTTTCTCAATGTAATGTGATTGTGACAAAACATATCCTTCTGATATTTTGGTAATTTTCATACCAAGAATTACATCAGCAATCCCCATGTTCTTCATATCAAAATGTTTATTCAATATTTTATTGATAGTTTTAATCATATCATTATTGCTACCTATAATGAGCATATCATTTACATAAAGACATACTATTACATAACATTTGTCTGTGTTTTTACAAAGTTATATTCTTCTTACAGAAATTATTTATGTGCGTATACAAAATAATATTCTGGTTTGAAAATACAAATAGTAATAATATACTGTTTATTTTCTTTGACAACTTGAGAGGGTAATTTTTGTGAAAATTGGGCCGAGCTATAAGATGGTCATTAGGGCCCATAGTACGAAGGGCTGGGTAAAGAGGCCGTAAAATTACTCCGGCCCAAGAGAGGTACAAAATTACTCCGGCCCGAGAGAAATGAAAAGTTACTCCGGTCTGAAAGCGACTTGGAGTTAGGCCAGTCTCAGAGTTAGTCCGGTCATGGCGTATTGTGGTTAGAACGGTCAGAACCTTGCTACTCGGAAGCTCGGTCTAAATACACCATGGGTTGTACATGAGAGAACCGAGATAAGGAGGAGTAAAAGGAAGAACCGAACTAAGGATAGTTCGGCCTACTTTGTGGCTCAGCATAGCCAGTATTATTTCGGTCATGTTGTAGTTCGGCCATGGTAAAAACCATCTCACTTGGTTTAAGCAGTGAGGGGGGTGTTGAAGGATAAGCATTATCTTTCAGGAGTATGAATCC